AATGTGTACAACACACATGCCCCCCACTACAATACTATTCGCAATTGGTTCCATCGTTTCGAAAAAGATGACTTCTCGCTCGATGAAAAGGATCGCTCTGGGTGACCCCGTGAGTTGGATTTGGACAAGCTGAAGCACGCATTGCAATCGGATCCATTTCAATCTAGCCGTGAACTAGCTGTCACATTCGGAGTTCACCATAGCACAGTCCTTGAAGGTTTGAAGTTTATTGNAATGANAANACTTTTTGGTNGATTCAAGTTAGGCCACGGTGGTAAAATGGAACCAGCAACACTTCGTTTCCTCTAGATAATTTAAGAAAAATTGGGAAAAAATACCAGTGATGGGAGGAATTTCCGTTTCCGTTTCCGTTTTCCGCCCGGTTTTTATAATTTTTTTCCGTTTCCGTTTCCGCGGAAAAATTTACGATTCCGTTTCCGTTTTTCATATTTCGGAAAAGTGCGTTTCCTCCCATCACTGAAAAATACCACAACCGAAGAAATTTCCTAGTTCACCGGCTGTGTAGTCCTCTCGGACAAACGAGTCGATTTTTGTGTGACTCGACGGTTGGTCGGTCGCCTGAATTTCCCTACCAAATGGAAGCTTCGGTTTTTATACTACAGCTTAAAAATCGGATTTCAGATATGATCGCCTCAATTGCTGCACTCTTTGAAAGTCGTTTTTATACAGTATGCAAATTTGCTTGGAAGCCTTATTGGAAACGATGGCGTAGAACCGGGATTATACTCTATCACACTGTTTGGAGTACTGTAGTACTGTCATTTGGTTTCATGGTACCTGATCAGGAAACGGCAAAAAGAAATATGTTTGCGGTACGATTTTTTCAGAAATTTTTGGTGTTGGCCTAATTTTTGCAAGCTGGGTTTTCTAGGTCACCACCTTTTTTTCGCCTAGAAATTTCCTTTCATGACCCTGGTATGTATTTTAGGTAGTTTAAACGTGGTGGTCTAATTTTTGAAATCTGGGGTTTCTAGGCCACTACCTGTATTTGGCCTAGAAATAGCCTAAAATGACCCTCGCGTGTTTTCTAGTTCATTTCAACCTGGTGGCCTAGAAAACTCAAATAGCAAAAGTTAGGTTGCTCAGAAACACACCATGTGAATATTAGCCAATTTCTAGGTCATTAGAACTTGGTGGCCTAAAAACCCCAATTTGCGAAAGTTAGGCCGCCCTGCTGAAATGACCTAGAAAGCACACAGGGTCATTTTTAAGCAATCTACCATAGTGAAAATAATCCAAATTGTACGACTTTATTTCCAGAAACTCCCATGCCTACCTCAATACATCTATGAAGCCAATATCTTTGTCCTTTGCGAAGACTTTACCTACCATTTGGTGTGTTGGGTGGCATTAATCATCTCTGCCTGTGCCATGGTTAACTCATTCGTGGTTCTCCTGATATGGAACGCAGTAGTTCAACTTAGAAGTCGGACCATGTCCCAAAAGACGTTTCAACTTCAGAAAGCATTCCTTATAGCGTTAGGAATTCAAATACTGGTGCCCCTCTGCACGTTTATAATACCCGTTATCTATACATGGATTGCGTTCATGCTGTACTACTACAATCAAGCGTTTACGAACTGTGCAGTTTGTTTATTTTCCATCCACGGGTTTTTGTCTTCAATGGTCATGACATTAGTGCATCGGCCTTATCGAGAAACTTTTTTTAGTTTATTCCCAAAAAAGATGACAACAAGATCTGAAGAAAATCCTGCTAAGCGATTGGTGCGCTATAATCACAATACTTCTGTTGGAATTGTTACAACTTGATTTTTTATTGATTTTCTGGACATCGGAAGCATTCCAGCGGAAAGTAAGAAGTCGTCAAGCAAACTATTTTAAATTTTTTTTTCCAAAACTGATAATAAATTTAGGGTGGTTACTATAGTCAATTTAGAAATTTGGAAGGTTACTGTAGTTTTAGTTGGGTTACTGTATGTCCATTCTCGGGACAATTTCTGACTGAACTAGGTTGATTACAAACCTATTTTAGGCCGATTTTAAGCCATTCTAGACCACATTTGGACCATTTTGAACCAGATTTGAGCTGTTTCAGACCATTTTCAGGCAGTGTAGACTAACTTTGAACAATTTTAAGCTGATTTTGGGCCGATTTCGAATCATTTCAGACAGAAATTTGGACCTTTTGAGACTAATTTTGGGCTGATTTCAAGCTATTATAGACCAAAATTAGATCCTTTTAGACCGAAATTCGGACTAATTCAGACTACTGGTATAGCTCATTTCAGGTCGAATTTAGGCCAATTTGGAAGAATTTTAGGCCTTTTTTCTGAAATTTGAAAATAAATTGTTTCTCAATATTTTGCTCCAGGTCATTTTTTCAGTTAGTTCCAGAAACACAATAAACTTTCTTTTAACCAAAATATTCATTAAAAACAATATTTATTTCGAAAAACGCATGCCGTATAACCTGTATTAGAAGGGCTCCTAGCTTTTAACTTTGAGCCTTTTATCTAGGTTCCATTAAGATGAAAAATCTATTAACTGATAAAATAGTTGTGAAATTATGATAAATAAATTATCAGTTGAAAATTTTGTTTGATAGCCTTCACAGGAAATGAGATAAAAAATTTGGAAAGCAGGTGAATTGTTTGGAAAGCAGGTGAATTAAAATTTCAATCAATTATTAGTTGATTGAAATTTAAAAAATCATTTTCTCTTGAAATTGTGAATTCTTGAATAAATTGCATTTTTTCTTTGGAAATCTCATTAAATGCAATAATCCCGAAAGGGAGCCGCACAGTTGCAAAACCTCACGCCCCACTTGCGAAATTGTGGGCGGGGCGTCGGGGTCGCAACCACCAGGTGTCACTTTTTTATTTCGACAATAGCAAATGTAATAATCAAAATTTTATTAACACTTTTTAAAGAAGTAGTTGGAAAAGAACTTAAAATTCTGAAAATTTTTAAAAAATAATGATTTCGAATTAAATTTAAAAAAAGTTCAATACATTTTCTTCGGAAACTCAGCGAATAGAAAATGTATTAGAAACATTCCAGCCGTCAAGTGAATTATCTGAAACTGAAAATTGTTCAGTTTTAGAAAATTAAAAAAGTATTACAGAAAAGTTTCCATACAGTAAAAAGTTGATTTTTGAAAAATAAAGAAGATTACAAACAAAACAAAAATGCATATGTGCCTTTGAAAGTGATTAAGGTAGATCCGCAGCAACTTTAAATCGTAAAACCCAACGTTTGCCGTCTTGTTTTAGCAGGATTTTGAGGATCGATCCGTCACGCATCGATAGGATTATTGAGCTGGAAATTTCGAATGAAAGGATCCTAACTTTTTACAGAATAAATAGTTTCTGACCAGCCTACATTGATTTGATGAAACTTTTAAAGTACTATAATACAAGGTGATTTAGTTTTAAAATCTGTATCTTGTCTATGAAACTATGAAACCAGATACAGAGCGAAAAGGGAGAAAGTGCATGTGCTTAATCTTTGAGCTCACTTATCTCAGTTCCTATGAAAGATATCTAAAATTTGTCAACTGATAAAATATTTATCATAACATCATAAACGTTTTCATAGTTGACCACTTTTTGATATCTCTCAAAGAAATTAAGATAGAAGAACTCAAAATTATCTTACCTTTTAGTCGAACTGCGCACAGACATTTGATTTCTGATCCCATTCAAACACTTCATTCCCTCGTTGAGAAATGCAAATCCAATCCAGTACGTGGTCCCAACAGGCCGCCCATCAGCTACACAATTTTGAACAAGCCCCAGAACCTGTGTGAGTTCTGTCTTACAGTACCGCAAATCCACCTCCAGATTGCTAAGCCGTCTAATATTTAGTATCCGTGTATAGGGTGCTAATTCTTTGATGATAAGTCTTTTGGCGTTTTTAACAATAGGACCATTGAGATTTTCTTCGAGTGTATCTTCAAAAACGGAACTATTCATAAGCTCCACTTGCTCAGGAAAGCTGTCCAAAATTGGTTCGAATTTTCCAACATGCATAATATCTACATTAATCTTCTTGATAGTGAATTTGATTCCAATTGGCAATCGAATAGTTTGAACACCTTCTGCCACGTGGAATTCGTTGATACGGATCGGATGTCCTCGGAGGATTACAGTATTCATGTACCGCAATCCTTGGGGAACGGTAAAGGAGGATCGGTATGTTTGTTGGCCGTTAGAATCCTGGATCGTAAGCTGGGAGGACGGCAGCACATTTTCGAAAACTTCTCTAAAGTGCGTATATCTCGTGGGCACCAATTGCAAGTCGCCGAATTGCTCTTCGTCTTTAATTTGAGCGTCTTCATTCTGATGAGGTCCAGGGATCAGGTTCAAACAGCACCCTATCTGATAAATGGTCCCATTCACGATAGTTTTGTCTTTTTCGAAAATTAGACTATCGATTTTCAAAAGCGTCGATTTGGCAACGGTTTTGATCGATGGAAGACGTCGGGTGAGGTGGATTCTGAAACTCGAATTTTTGAAATTTTGGGGAAAAAAAGAAAATCGATTAACCGAAGATTTGGTTCTGTGAATTTTATGATAGTAGTCAGCGATTCGTAGAGCAATGGCTTGGAGCATTTGGACATCTGGAAAACAGCGCATGACTTGGCTCAAACTTTGAAGTTCTGATTGAATTGAAGAGTGAAATGTAGAACTTGAAAAGAGCTACACAATGATACTTGACTCAACCAATGTTGTACAACTACTTTTGAGCTAGAAACCGGGAAACAACAGGGCCCGCAAAATCGGCTCATGGCAGAGGAGGTCTGTAGCTCAAAAAACAAAATTCGAATACAGTATAAAACTTACATCATTTTGTAGCTCTTTTTATGTTCTACATTTTATTTTTGAATAATACAGAAATTTTAAGCTTGATCTAAAGTGCGTATATCATGAGCTTTCCAAGTAGCAACCGCTAGACATCCATCTCTGGGACGCTGCCGACTTTATAACTGTGTAGCTCAATACTCGAAACTTGAATATGGTCGAATTAAATATTATTTTGTATCTCTTCCAGAGTTCTACATTTTGCTTTTTGGTTCGTCTCAAAATTCCGAGTTTGAGCCGAGTTATGCACCTTCTTTAGATGCCCGTGCCCTTTGGGCGCAACCGGCCGGCAGGCGTCGACTTCGACCCAGATAATTGAAGGCGCCTAACTCGGCTCAAACTTAGAATTCCGGATTGTTTCAAGAAAAAAATGAAAAAGTTAACAAGATCTACAAAAAGATTTTAAAATTGACCACGTCAATATACAGTGCGTTGGGTTCAAGCCAACGGGTCAAAAAACGCGCCCCAAATAACTTTTAGGCCAAAAGAAATTTAATAATTTCCAAGTTGACGTGGATTTGACCTAATTAGTTCTAATCAACGAGTTGCAACGCGTGATTTTTTCGTGCAACGTTTAAAAGTTTGATCCTCAGCCACATAATTCAGCAGCGAATTTTTTCTAAAATCTCACGTTTACTGGGGCGCGATTTCTGACCCATTGGCTTGAACCCACGTGAGTGCGTGAAGTTATGAGTGGGCGGGCGATTGATGATTGAATGACGGCTGCGCGATTTTTTAACGCATAACTCGCTTCAAACTTCATATTTTCAAAAAAAAATGAATAAATGTAGATCCGTAAAATCTCTACACTTCAAACACATCTAAAATGGATGATGTTACAAACTTTTTTCCTTCTATGTAGCTACTATAGTCAAAGGAGGATATGAACAGTGCGTTCAATAAGGATAGGACCCTCCTCGATTTTGAGGGTTCCGGAAAAAGTAAAAAAGTAACGGAAAATCTGTAAAAGCCATTCGATTTAGAATATAAAATAACCCCCGAAAACAAATTTTCATATCTCTTGCACTTTCTGTACTCGAGTTATACTCAAATGTCACTTTTGCGACCGTTCAATAAGGATGGGACCACTCCAAATAATGAAAAATCACAAGTATTTTAGGGTACAAATGTGAACTTTTTTTCGTTGGAAATTGTTAAAATGGTCTCAAAATAGCCTATTTTGAAAGTTTAGACAAAAATTGATTCCTCTAATCAAGTTTTAGAAAATATGATTTTCGGACATTTTTTTCCTTTTTTGGGTTTTTGGAATAAATCGCGGATAACTTTGCTCCTGGGTAAAATTTTGAGCTGAAACTTATAGAAAATAATGCTGCAATAGTCTGAATTGTCTACTGACAACTGTTACGCTGTTATGAGCCGTTTTTGTAATTTAAGATAGATTGAAGTTTCTAAAATTGACCTTGAAGTTCGGTGATTCTGATTTCTGTCGAAAATCTAGATTTTACTCTCTTAACTTGTTTTTCTGTACAAAACAACAATTTGACTAGCGATTTTAATCACTTAGAACACCTTTCGAACATTTTAGACCGATTTGAAAATTTTCCAATTGGCCATATTGGGCAATTGGGCATATCAGTACAAAACTCGAGCTCAATTTCGAGCTACCATAGCTCAAAAGTGCCTTGAACACTCACAACATGATCATGATTATTCGAAACATATTTCCAACTAATTTCAGCTCAAAATTTTATCCAGGAGCAAAGTTATCCGCGATTTATTCCAAAAACCCAAAAAAGGAAAAAAATGTCCGAAAATCATATTTTCTAAAACTTGATTAGAGGAATCAATTTTTGTCTAAACTTTCAAAATAGGCTATTTTGAGACCATTTTAACAATTTCCAACGAAAAAAAGTTCACATTTGTACCCTAAAATACTTGTGATTTTTCATTTTTCGGGGTGGTCCCATCCTTATTGAACGGTCGCAAAAGTGACATTTGAGTATAACTCGTGTACAGAAAGTGCAAGAGACATGAAAATTTGTTCCCGGGGGTTATTTTGTATTCTAAATCGAATGGCTTTCACAGATTTTCCGTTACTTTTTTACTTTTTCCGGAACCCTCAAAATCGAGGGGGGTCCTATCCTTATTGAACGCACTGTACATATCCTCCTTTGACTATAGTAGCTACATAGAAGGACCATGAAAAAAAAGTTTGTTACATCATCCATTTTAGATGTGTTCGAAGTGTAGAAATTTTACGGATCTACATTTATTCATTTTTTTTTTGAAAATATGAAGTTTGAAGCGAGTTATGCGTTAAAGAATCGCGCAGCCGTCATTCAATCATCAATCGCCCGCCCACTCATAACTTCCTTCAAGCTAAATTTTTTGAAGCCCATCAATAGACACAATGACTTGAGCAAATCGCATCATAGATACCAAATTCATGAAACAGAAACAATTTTAGGTAGAGGTTCAAAGCGACCAAAAGTTTTTGGTCACTGTTGTCACACCTTCATTGTATTATTCGGTTGGCAGGAAAGTAACTGTCCATTTTTTTTATTAGTAAATAGCACAAACACAAGAATAATCAATATGCACCGTCGTGATCCACAACATGTTGGCAATGTTCAGGTAACTTGTGGGTACCATCCCTCCAAAAGCCAGCTAGTGGCAAGTCAAAGTATCCCTTCAGTCCATTTTTTCAGGCATCAAGTGTGTTAAAGTCCTTAAGCTCCAGATGACGTCGTATACTTTTGAATAACCAATGATCTGATAGAGCTGAATCAAGTTTAAACGGGGGTAAAGGAGAACCGTCCAGCCGAAGCGGCTCAGGTACGGCGTGACTTTCCGTGCAACATGAGGTTTTTTTCATTTTTTACCTGCAGTCAAGTCAGACCTGAGCCGCTTCAGTGGGACCGTTCTCCCTCACATACTTATAGTCCCAAATGAGCTCTATCAGATTATTGGATATTCGGAGAGATACAACCTCATCTAGAGAATACGAAAATTTGCAACGTTTATGTGAAAAACAGGAAAAAATGAATACTTTGATTAGTGGCTAGCTGGCTTTTGAAGGTATTGTATTCACAAGTTATCTGAACATTGCCAACATGTCGTGGACCACGACGGTGCATACTGCTAATCTTGGATTAATCCTGCTTTTGTATTATTCACATATAAAACAAGGGACATTTACTTTCCTGCCAACCTAATACATCATCCACTCATTCAAACAGTATCCGTTATATTCATTTGTTAACTCTACTAGGTCAGAATTATGACATTAGAGCTACGCGGTAAAGTCAGCTGGACAGATGGAAGCTAAACCACGTAGCTCCCTATTACAAGGCCCACATAGTTCGGCTCATACTAGGAGTTCCTGATTGAAACAAATAGAAAAGTGTAGGTCTTGAGAAGAGCTACAAAAATAATAACTAATTTGGCTATATTAAAATACCGGGTGCTGAGCTACACGGTTGTAAAGTCAGCCACGTTCCACAGATGGATGTTTAGCTGTCTCTACTCGGAAAGCTCAGAACTCAGCTCAAATTTAGAATTTCGAAACGGTTGAAAAAGTAAAATCTAGCACTTGAAAAGATCTACAAAGCGATACCTAATTCAATCATTTTTGAATATTGATTTTTGAGCTACACGGTCTTCAAGGGGTCATAGGCAAGAACGAGGTGGATGTCTAGCGGTTTCAACTTGGAGAGCTCATAACTTGGCTCAAACTTGAACTTTTGGAATGAATCAAAAAGTGAAATGTAGAACTCAAAAAGAGCTACAATATGATATATATAACTCGACTACATTCGAATGTCGAGCTCTGAGCTACACGGTCGTTGCTAAACCGCGTAGCTCCATAATTCAAAAGCACAACTCCGGTCAAACTTAAAAATCCAAACAAAGTGTGAAATGTTGAACTTGAAACGAGCTACAAAATAATACTGAATTCGTCCATTTTACAAAAAAAAGGAGCATTAAAAATAAGACTGCAAGTAGCATAATCTTTAAAAATTACGATTTTTGGTAATTTTTCAATGGAAACTGACAAAAAATCACGTTAGGCAATACGAAAAATTACAAAATCAATAAGGAATCCTGTCACGGTCCACCAATACATGGGCAGGCTACGCAGTCACATCTTCCCCTTCAAAAACTACGACACTCCGAAATTCCGCATTTTTCAATGTCAAAAAATCAACTATTCATCAGAAACGTAAATAAAAATTAAAGGGACAGTATATATAAAAGAAGATCCGTAACTTTTATAACACAATAAATCAGAGAGAAAAAGCATAGAGGGGGCGGGGAGGGATACCTTAAAGGGAAAGAAATGCATTTGCGCTCTACTGGACCATCCTTAAAAATCGTTCATTTCGAGACCCATTTGAGTTGATTTTTCGGAGTCCAGTAGAGCGAATTTGCATAGAAAAACGGGATATGAAAAAATAGACACTTTTGAGTGTGTGCATTAAAGCTAATAGAGAAAATATTGATTTTTTAGAAGGGGGCGGGGCCTAAACCGGAGATAATTGGGGGGAGATTATGCGGTGGAGGGGGAAAATTGGATTTTTTCATAGAAAGAGTTTTAAGAATAAAAAGTCAGCACGGATTGTTGATTTCCGCGAACGAGCAGGATTGGCGGCAGATTTCGAGTCATCACTTCCAGCCAAGACAGGTAGAGCGATGAGGAGACCATTCCTTTTCGTGGCACGGGAAGGGTCCTGAAAATTTGAATTACTTTATATTTGAGAATCTGGGGTGGTACTGTAGTTGGAAAATTTGAGAGTTACTGTCGGTCCATCTTAAGCCAATTTCAGACTGAACAAGGCCGATTTTAAGCCTGGTTTCGACAGCTCTTTGGGTTACTGTAGTTTTGGTTAGGTCCATTTTTAGGGGCCGATTTTAAGCCCATTTTCAGGTGTTTTAAGAGAGAATTTGGGTGGTTACTGTAGCTCGGAATCTAGGTTACTGTAGTTGAGAATTTGAGTCTGGATTACTGTAGTTTTGATTGGGTCCATTTTAGACCGATTTTGGGCCTAGTTATGGATTTGGGATACTGTAGTTAATTTGGAAAGTTACTGTAGGTCCATTCTCGGGACAATTTCTGACTGAACTAGGTTGATTACAAACCTATTTTAGGCCGATTTTAAGCCATTCTAGACCACATTTGGACCATTTTGAACCAGATTTGAGCTGTTTCAGACCATTTTCAGGCCGTTGTAGACTACCTTTGAACAATTCTAGGCTGATTTTGGGCCGATTTTTAACTTGTTTTAGTCTGATTTTAGGCCGATTTCGAACCATTTCAGACTGAAATTCGGAACTTTTGAGACTGAATTTGGGCCGATTTAAAGCTGTTATAGGCCAAAATTAGATCATTTTAGACCGAAATTCGGACTGATTCAGACTACTGGTATAGCTCGTTTCAGGCCGAATTTAGGCCAATTTGGAAGAATTTTAGGCCAATTTTGAGCTACTTCAAGCCAAATTTAGGCCTTTATGCGCCTATTTCGGGTCATTCTGGTTCGATTTTTGATTATTTTAGACTAACTTTGGACCATTTTAGACTATTTACAGATTACTCGGACTTTCGATTTTAGGCCGAATTCGGGCCACTTCTAACTGAAACTAGGCCATTTTAACTGAAACTAGGCCAAGCCGATTTCGGGCCGTTCCAGACTAAATGTGGGCTGTTTTGAACCGAAATTCGGGCTAATTCAGACTACTGCTATGGCTCATTTCAGGCCGAATTTAGGCCTATTATCGGTGGATTTTAGGCTTTTTTAGTCCGCTTCAGACTCGTTTAGGGCGATTTCAGGGTGTTCTAGACTAAATTTGAACTGTTCTAGACTAATTTCAGGCCATTCTAGGCCAATTTTGGGCTGTTCTAGACCAAATTTGGGCAGTTTAGACTAATTTTAAGCTATTTATAGACAGATTCTAACCCATTCTAGACCAATTTCAAGCCTATTTTTAACCAAAAACGAAAACTCACATTACAATCAAATCTGCCTTTATCGAGTGCTCCTGGAGCAGCTCTCCAGCTCTCAACTGTCGATAAGTCTTGTCTCTTTGAGCACTGAGCTCCGATTTCGTCGTCATTCCCATCGGACAGCTTCCATCGGGCGCCGTAAACGGATCGATCACACTTTGCCACGTGGCCATCGTCTCCTGACGTGGCTTCTTGCCAATGTCGGCGATGACGTACACATCAGAATAGTCGATTCGGAATTTCGACAACAACGCCGCCATGCCACGTTGCTCCTGCTCCATCGTACGAGATGACGTGGAAATTGTGAAGATGCGAAGACGTGCGCCTTCGAGGTAGGATTTTGGGATGGAGAGGAGGTGGGGGATGAGGAGTGTCAGGCCTCCGTCATCGTACAGCCACCACACGTCGATGACACCCTGGAATATGGGATTCAGAAGATTCAGAGGTTAGAAGACGTTAGGTGGCCTAGGAAAGTTAAAAATGGGATTCTAGGCCATCTGTTACAGCAGATGCTATGAAACGAATGTGTCCTAGAAATCCGAAAATAGAAATTTCTAGGCGACCAGTGACTAATGGCCTAGAAATCCAAATTTTGAATTTTCTAGGACACGAAGCTTCAAAACAACGTGGCAGCCTAGAAACCCAAAATTTGAGATTTCTAGGCCACCAATTACCCCTGGCCTAGATTTCCTTGGCGGCCTTGAAACCCGAAATTCGAAATTTCTAGGCCAGCAGTGAACGGTGGCCTAGAAACCCAAAAAGTGAGATTTCTAGGCCACCAGTTACTCTGAAATGAACGTGGCCTAAAACCCAAAGCACCGAATTTCTAGGCCACCCACTGCTCGACATGGCCTAGAAACCGAAAGTTTGAGATATCTAGGCCACTAATCAGCTCAAAAGCTCGGAAACAATGATGGACTAGAAACCCAATTTTGAGATTCCTAGGCCAGCAGATGCTATGAAACGAATGTGGCCTAGAAACCCAAATTCGAGGTTTCTAAGCCAGCAGTTATTGATGGCCTGGAAATCCAAACCGAGATTTTCAGATCAGTCGTTACTAGGAAATGGAGGTGGCCTAGGAACCCAAAAAGTTAAAATTCTAGGCCAGCAGTTATTGATGGCCTAGGATGCCAGGAAACACGATTTTTTGGCTACCAGCTCCTATGAAACGGAGCTGGCCTAGAAACACAAATCTTGAGAATCCTAGGCCACCTAATACCTAAAAAAAAGCTCATGACCTAGAAACCCCAAAAATAGAGATTTCTAGGCCACCAGTGACTAATGGCCTAGAAACAAAAATCTAAGATTTCTAGGCCACAAAGCTTTTTGGCTTCAAAATGAGGCTTACAACTTCCTAGACCACGATTTCCGAGTGGTGGCCTAGAAACCCAAATTTTGAGATTTCTATGCCACCAAACAATTTCTAGGCCATTTACCTTCTTGATTTTTCGCTGGAAACGTTGAATCGACGACAGCAACGCCTTCTGTTCGACGGTGTGACGACGGGATCTGAAACATTGGGATATAGGCTTTTCTAGGCCTTTCTAGGCTGCTTTAGGCCGATTTCAGGCCATTATAGGCCAATTTTAGGTCATTTTAAGCCGAAGTTTTGGCCGTTTGCCCTACAGAATAGTTTTAAGCCAAATTTAGGTTGTTTCGGTCCAATATTTCGGCCTAATTCGGACTATTCTAGACCAAAATTAGGCCGTTCTAGACCACTTTTCGGGCCGTTTTAAGCCATTTTAGGTTTATTTAGACCAAATTTCAAGCCTTACCCTCTCCGTCTCAACGAAAAATGTCGTTTCTCGGTGTCCTGATGATCCATCACACCCAGCTCCACGTCATCATCCTTATTCGGCCTCTCATCGTCGTCGTCGGCTCCAGAATCCCCGACGTCATCGTCGTCGTCGTCGTGATCGTGATCATCGTCATCTGGATTCTCTTCGGATCCATAAGTTTCATTGATAGAGATAGATGCTGAAAATGAGGGTGAATTACAGTAACCCAAAGTAATCCAAAAAATGTCGATGATCATGCAAAAATCAGGATGTTTTTCGGCTATTTCAGGCGATTTTTAACGTATGGTGACTATGGTACTATGGTAACTATGGTCATTATGGTATGGTAACTACGGTAACTATGGTACCATGGTTTTCATGGTAACTATGGTGATATGGTCCCACGGTAACTATGGTGGTTTGGTAACTATGGTAACTATAGTGACCATGACCTCTATGGTACTATAATACTATGATAACCATGGTACTATGGTAACTGTGGTACTGGTACTATCGTAACTATGGTACTTATGGTACATATGGTACCTATGGTACAGTTGTAATATGGTAACTATGTTAACTACAGCAACTATGGTACCATGGTAAAAATGATGATAATCGTGCTCAATTTTGATAATTTTAAGCCAATTTTCGACATTTTTCACAACTACAGTAACCACATTCACGATCACAATACGTATACAGTACTACAGTAATCTCCGAACCATTAATATAAAAGGCATTAATCCGCTGAAACATCTCCATACTTCGGAAACTGCCACGATATGATAGTCGAGCTGAATTTAGAACCGCGAGGTTTTAGAACTGTGACGTCGCAGAACTGTGTCGTTTTTAGAACCGCAAGGTTTCGCAACTGCGACGTTTCAGAACTGCGACGTTTTAGAACCGCGACTTTTTTATAACCGCGACGTTCCAGAACCGGTATGTTTCAGAACCGCGACGTTTCGCAAGTGCGACGTTTCAGAACTACGACCTTTCTAGAACTTTTCCAATTTTGGGTCATTTTGGACCGATTTTGAGCCATTTTCGGGCTTTTGTTTTGTCATTTTGGACCAATTTTGAGCGACATTTCGAAACCGCGACGTTTCAAAACTTACAAGACGCATCATCCGCTGATTTTTCGGTCCGTGCCGTCTCGTCCTTTTCGATCAAATGGACCGTTTCTGGGGATAAATTTCCATTGGTCGATTTTTCCACTTTTTCTTGGTTTTCTATATTTGGTACGTTGATTTTCGACGACGATTCCACAAGATTCAAATTTCGCATCGCTTCGGAGAAGTCGAGTCCGACGCCACCGTTACGGAGCACACAGACGGCCATGTTCCAGTCGAAAACGTCTCTGAAAATGGAAATTATGGTACTATGATATTTATGGTACCATGGTACTATGGTACTATGGTAGCAGTGACACTTTGGAAAATATGGTACTATGCTAAATATGGTATTATTAGGTAAGCGGTATGGTGACTATGGTATCCATGTCACGTAGTATGGCGATTATGGTACTATGGCAACTACTGCACTATGGGGTATGGCGTTCATGGGGCTTATGGAAATTATGGGACTTATGTGATTCATGGGTTCTATGGATTCCATGGGGGTTCATGGGACTTATGGAGGTAGGGGCATAAGGCTTATGGGATGATTGTTGGAACTATGGTAGCCATGGTACTATGGTTCTATGGTAGCCATGGTACTATGGTATGGTCTATCGATCTAAGGTTGGGGTTATGGGGGTTAGGGTCTAAAGTATGGGGTATGCTGACGATGATACTTTATGCCTATGGATCTATCGTCTGGGTTATGGGGTCCCCGGCACTATGAGGTATGGTAAAGTCCCCCCCAAATTTTCAGTATCAGGGCCTGGGCATGGTACATATGGGAACTATGGTACTATGGTAACTATGCTACCCAAAACTCACTGAATCGTTCCAAAATACTCGTTCATTTCGTTCAAATTCTGTTCCGTGGGTCCACCCATATACCAATTCGACTTGAATCCAACCAAAACGATATTCGGCTTCATTTTAGCGATTCCAGTCAGTTGAATCAACGATTGAGCGCCTTTTCGGAACGACGAGTTGGCGACGGCACGATAGAACGCCTTCAGATGACGTTTACGCATCCAGATGCTCACGACGTCGTCCAGTTTTCGGATTACGGTATGCACACGGTCCGATGGGTCGTACTGAAAAAAATTAGGGGTTGGGAGGGTGGACATTTTAGAACCGCGACATTTCGTAACCGCGACGTTTACGAACTGTGTCGCTCCAGAATTGCGACGTTTTGGAACCGCTATGTCTTAGAACTGCGATGTTTCCCAATGACGACATTGAAGAACTGCGACGGTCTAGAACCGCGACGTTTTAGAACTTCAAGACTGGTGGACCTTCTAGCTACCCTAAAATGACTGGGACAGTTCGTAACCGCGACGTTTCAGAACCACGACATTTCGCAAACGGATTTTTGAGAAACGCGACATTTCGCAACCGGACAATCCAGAATTTCAAGACTGACTAGCTACCCTAGAATGACTAGTACATTTCAAAACCCTCGGACGTTTGGGAACTGCGACATCTCGTAACCGCGACATTTCAGAACTTCAAGACTGGTGTACCTTTGACGCGTTCTAGCCAGCCCAAAGTGACTGGGATACTTCAGACCCGCGACACTTCGCAACTGTGACGTTTCGCAACCGCGACATTTCGCAACCGGACAATCCAGAATTTCAAGGCTGACTAGCTACCCTAGAATGACTAGTACATTTCATAACCGCGACGTTTCAGAAATTCAAGCCTGGCGCACCTCTGACGCGTTCTAGCGAGCCCAAAGTGACTGGGACACTTCGCAACTGTGACGTTTTGCAACCGCGACGTTTCAGAACAAACCGGCACAACTTGTCCACAAACGAGCAGCGAGCTTCCTTTCGTGATATTATTGGCAAAATCCACTAAACACGATCGGGACGCTGGATTTCCGGATAGCACAAGGACTTGGGGTCGGTAATTCTTGACGTGCTCCTCAGTGGTGGAAAGCTGCAAAAATCCAATTTTGGGTCATTTTGGGGTGATTCAAGCTTGAAAAAAAGGCAAATTTAGCCCGTAAACGGTCATTTTGGTCTCAAAAATCATGTTTTTGGAGCATTTTCAGCACTAAAATGACCATTTTTTTCAGCTTAAAATAGCCATTTTTTTAGCCTTAGAACCCCCGAAAACCGTACCTTAATCATCGCCGAAAGCGCATTCTTATAACTGTGCGCCTGTGTCGATGATCCCCAATTGACATCCGGCTTCCGATGAAGGAGATACATGAAAATGGCTCCGAAACAGAAGAAAGTGACCAGTGCCGAGAACCAATCGATAATGAACATCACGAAGACGCAGAGAATCGCGCCGATCAGCGAAATCCACATATTGTAGTAGGTGAAACCGGGGCGGAAACCTGGCGAATCGGCGAACGACTGGTCGAAACACGCGTAGTTTATCAAGGCATACGAGCCGAGGAAGAAGTTTGAGATGATCGGGGCGATGACGTTGAGGTCTCCTGAAAATTGGGGAACATTTTTGGTTGGAAATGAGCGAAAATCGGTAAAAATCGCTCGAAAAATGAAACCCAACTTCGGCCTAAAATAGCTTAAACTCGGTAATAAACAACTCCAAAATTGGCCTGAAACAACTTAAAATAGCCTAAAATGGTCCAAAAATCACAAAAATCGGTTAAAAATGGGATGTAAGAGACATTTTGAAAATACGACATTTCGCAACTCGGACGTTTTAGAACCGGTCATTTCGCACTTTTTTACAAAATCGGTCTAAATCGAAATTGGTCCGAAATAGTCCAAATAGGCATTCATTGTTAAGTATTCTTTGAAAATACGACATTTCGCCACCCGGATGTTTCAGAACCGTTGCGAAATGGCTAGTTCTAGAACGTCCGGTTGCAAAATAGACCACCCTGCGCCGAAATCGGGCTTAAATCGGCTCAAAATAGTCCGAAATATTCTTCGTCAGGTGTTTTTGTAAATGTGACATTTCGCAACTAGGACGTTTTAGAACCGCGACGTTTCGCAACTTCTACAAATCGGTCTAAAATGACTTGAAATAGATTCAAAATCGAGATCGGCTTCTGAGGGTATTTTGAAAATGCGACATTTCCCAACCGCGACGTTTTAGAACTGCGACGTTTCACAACTTTCGGAAAATCGGTCTTAAATGGGTTGAAATCGATTCAAAACAGTCCGAAATAGGCTTTAGAGGATTTTTCGAAAATGTGACATTCCGCAACTCGGACGTTTTAGAACCGGTCATTTCGCAACTTTTTACAAAATCGGTCTAAAACGGTTTGAAATCGGCTCAAAATAGTTCGAGATCGGCGTCTGAGGTTATTTTGAAAATGCGACATTTCCCAACCGCGACGTTTCAGAACTGCGACGTTTCACAACTTTCAGAAAATCGGTCTTAAATGGGTTGAAATCGATTCAAAACTGTCCGAAATAGGCTTTAGAGGATTTTTCGAAAATGTGACATTTCGCAACTTTTTACAAAATCGGTCTAAAACAGTTTGAAAT